GTGTGTGTGTGTGTGTGTGTGTGTGTGTGTGTGTGTGTGTGTGTGTGTGTGTGTGTGTGTGTGTGTGTGTGTGTGTGTGTGTGTGTGTGTGCGTACGTGCGTACGTGCGCGCACGCGCGTGTGTGATTTTACATAAACTGCCCCTCTCTTTTCCTGCAGGTACTTAACCCGCTGCTTATCGTTGTGCTAATTCCTATCTTTGAAGTAGCTGTTTATCCGTGCCTGAATAAGCTACATATTCCGAACAGGTACGTTCACAGGCACCTTCAGCGTTTCAATAAAATATAATGCTAAATAAATACGAAATCTATTTACTACCAAAGTCATGTTTCTCTGCTCCTACTACTACAACTTCCTGTAAATGCCGTGCAAAAACTCCTCTGCAACACACATGTCCACCGCACACACGCTGCCGCCCACTGACACACACACACACACACACACACACACACACACACACACACACACACACACACACACATATATATATATATATATATATATATATATATAAATCAAGAGCGTATTAAGTATGCTTAATACGCTCTTGCTATAATATATTATATGCCCGGTCGAGTATCAGTTGAAGATTTACAGGACGTAAACGTCATGGTAAATATTGCTGATATGGGCGAAATTTCGGAATCCGTTGCGTAGGCAATCTAGCAGAGATAAGCGAGTTAAATTCCGGCATGTCGTAATATATTGTTGCAAGTGAAAACACGACAATAAATCTTCAACCGTGACATGTAGTGAGCGTACGGAGCATAGCAGGATCATCATCACAACGTTTTTTGCTTCTATTGTATTCATAACGGACATAACTGTTGCTTTTACAAGCCGAGTCTCATCGTAAGGACTGTCTAACCTCGATAAACTGGCTGCAATGCCACAACGGGCATTATGTCAACGATGCGCTTGCTTGCCTGGATGGCTATGACGAGGACGGGTTTCAGACAGGATGCAGAGACGTGTCACACTTGCGGAACTGCGGTGAGTTCTGCGACTAAGCATTTCTAACAAGTCCCTAATTAACCGAACGAACGAATCTATATACAGGGCGTCGATTCATGATTGTTACTGATAAATTGAGTAGTGATGGCGGTTTCGCATGTATAATTCATGAATGCGTACCTCGGACATATTGATTTTCAGACATATATTTTTAAAAAAAAAATTTAATATTTATTATATAATAAACAATAATTTACATTATATATATAAGAGATTTGCGTCAATCATGATAAACAGTTAGACTTTGTTATCAAGACAACATAGTGTTGGTTCAGTCGTGTCTATATCTGTTATAGATCTATATTAGCAGTAAATGCACATTTCCAGAATATTTTCAATGCCCGGATAACTACGTTAAATGTCCGGGAAGTTACTGCGTACCAATGCACACTGTGTGCGACGGTCAGTGGGACTGCCCGGGAGGTCACGACGAGGTCAACTGTGAAACATTCAGCTGTCCTGGCATGTACAAATGTCACCAGCAGCAGTACTGCATCCCTGCCGCTCAGCTCTGTGACGGCAGGCGACAGTGTGAGATGGGCGACGACGAATACCTTTGCGGTAATCTTTCCGGCTCTTATAAATGAATGAATGAATGAATGAATAAATTAATGAATAAATTAATGAATAAATAAATAAATAAATAAATAAATAAATAAATAAATAAATAAATAAATAAATAATAAATAAATAATTAAATAAATAATAATAAAAATAAAATTAAAATACATATATATATATATATATATATATATGTATGTATATATATCCTTCCTCGCGCAACTATAATAGCTACATAGATGCATTTTCGACCCGACCTGTGTCAAACAGCCGTGCAGTTTGCCGAGTTATCGCATGAAGTATCAAAGACATGTCTATAGCAATATCTGCCTGGTTCGTGTAGTCAGGATAATTAATTTTGCCTAAAATGTTTACAGAAACAGCCAGTGGCTACGACTGAACACCATTTTGACCAGTGTAATAGCTTCAGTATTAAACTATACGTTACGCAACTTAACGTAGGCCTAACGTAAAAAACGCTTATAACGCCTATAGATATATAACGTGCCTATTTTTTTTATATCGTTACGCATTACGGGTGAATCACGTAGTTATAAAAATATTTTTTCCTTTTTTACTGGCAGATATACAGTGTCCGCTCCCATGCAGATGCTCAGCTTTGTCTATATTCTGCTCCTATAGTAATCTGACTGAACTTCCAGATAAGATTCCATTCCAAATTCGGAAGCTGTAAGTACATATTTCCTATTTCTAATTACTTGTCACGGAGTTATTCACATAGTTCGCGCTTATTGGTATTTTATGAAATATTACTGATGGTTGATTTGATACACGACGTTTCCTTTACAGGGATATCAGCCACAACCTCATCGATCTTGACAGCATTGAATTCGGAAATTGGCTATATCTTAGTGAACTGTACGTACCCATCGTTCTACCCGTACCTGAATCAATTTCACAGTTTTCTCACAAATAGTACATAACATTGCCATAACTAGTAAAAATATTTGTTTTAATAGTTCTATAGGATACCTGTTTCGCAGTGTGCTTAAATTGAGATTTGATTCACCTATGCGACAAATGCACTTGTTATTCAAAGACAAGAAATATTTATTATCCGTACCTGGTCTGACAGGGAAATTATTAAACGTTCAAATGATATGAACAGCATTATTTCTTCTTAATATTTGTGTGCATAAATTCGGTACTAATGCATTTTACGCCCCGACAATTCGCTTCTAGCTTTCCGATGTAGGTACGCGCGAGTGTCAATGATACACATTCGTATTATGGGGAGATTGCTGTGTTAGTAGGGTTTAGGATTGTATATGATTATAATTCATGCATGCCGACATTGGGAAGCTATACCCGAGTTAGATGCGGAGGCTGGGATGCTACATGATGATTTGCTGGTACGCTTTAAATGAATTTGCACCCACGTGTATTGATATTAGCACATTTGCAAATGCTATAACTTTGCGTTTCAGGAACATTTCTTTTAATTCGATTCACAACGTACCGTCATCGCGGTTTCAAATGCTCCACAATCTCTATCTTCTGTAAGTACAATCTCCTACAATCCGATTATAAATAACAAGCATGGTGTAATCATAAGCATGTGTAAGCATAAGCATGTGTATCATAAGCATAATCATAAGCATGTGTCAGGTTTGGTTGTTATATAAATCGAACCTAGATCCGCGTGGAATATACAGTACTAGCACGTGAACAGAGAGTGCCGGCTTCTAATCATAATTTTTATATTGCTTTCACAGAGTCTATTATAGAGTCCTACATAAAAAAACGTAAAAAAAGACAATAACAAATAAAAGTGCCACTATATGGGATAAAATGCGTATGGAACTGCGGTGAACGGCTTTATCTGTCATGCATCAATTATTTTTCAGGGATCTTCGATATAATAATATCCAACACATAGAGGAAAATGCCTTTGCTGGTCTCCAGAATTTGAGATATCTGTGAGTACATGTATTTTTATAGAAAATACAAACTTTCGCGTTTTGATGAAACATGTTATGTGATTATATTATGTGTATACTCAAGAAGAATTTGGTGCGTGATAGACAGCATCACAATCAACATTTTAAATTTACCATACCATTGCTCTCACGTACTGACTTATATGATTTGCACATTTTCGTCGCACAGACTATTGACGGGAAATTTCAACTTGAGCGACATAGATTCGAATGCGTTTGAAGGATTGGGTCTTTTGAATGAGCTGTAAGTATATTGAGTAGCAGCGAGATTTGCCAGTATACGCATCTAGACGTATTACGGTTCTGCTTATGACGCTTATATGATGTCTCAGGTTAGACTTGAACTACCATCAACTACACGCTTACCACGGAGTGTACACATTTTGCGTATTTATTCAATATTAAACAACAATTGGCATTGTATTCAGCGTACTGGTCGGGCACTCCTTGTCTACGTTGAAAAGCGGCACCTTTCTTGGGCTGGAGCAGCTCAAACATTTGTATGTATACGCTCTCATAATTATGTTTATATTATACCTATATTTCACTTATACCTATATTATACCTATATTTCACCAATATTATAATATTAAAAGCAAAGATAAGAACAAACCCAAAGTAAATATAAAGAATTTTGTGTTTAGCACTATTTGCAAATTAAATTGTGTTATTGCATGTTTAAATTTTATTAAATGTAGTCATTATCGTTTTAATGACGTATTAGTGACATGATATTTTTCTGTTAGACGGATTGGCCTAATTGTTGGTTTTATAGGAACCTCTCAGGTAACAAGCTCACGGAAGTTCATGACGGTGCTTTCGATGGCCTTACTCAACTACAACTGCTGTAAGTGCTCTTATAATTAATTAAGTCAGCTAGCGGCCTCATCCTATTCTGCGATGATTGACTTTAAACAATAGCTTCATGAACGCAAAGGTGTGCAATGCCGTGGCTGATACAATACCGTAGCCGCGCACCATGATCTGTACTGTGCGCCAGCGCTCACTGGCAAAGCTGACCCAGGTCAATGACACAGTTCGGGTCTATCTGGATCAGGATCGTCGTAAACGTTTCGCGGCAAATGTGCAACAAACAGGTTTCTACTGTTAAGGACATTAGTCTAGAATCGCAGAAAAGTTTTTCCGAAAGTAGTAATAATGTGAGGCATCGGTGGTTCAGTGGTAGAATGCTCGCCTGCCACGCGGGCGGCCCGGGTTCGATTCCCGGCCGATGCAACGTTTTTAAATTCGAAATGTAAAAAAGGATTACATTTATTTTAGCAACAAATGTACCTAGTTGGTATGAAGTGTACGTCGTCTTTCTACTTTGTTGTTAATGGCAGTTAAATTATCAAAACGATTAACAAATAATTCAGGTTATAAAAGACTGTTCAACTTATTGTAACCGAAGACCTGTTTTGATTTCAATTTACATTGAAATTAGTAACCTTTATTATTGAAAATCCTCAAACAGGTATGAAGAAATTAGAAATCAGGAGCATCGGTGGTTCAGTGGTAGAATGCTCGCCTGCCACGCGGGCGGCCCGGGTTCGATTCCCGGCCGATGCAGTTTTTGCTGATGTATGCTCATTATCCAAAACATATTTTCTATCATGCTAAACCAGCTTTTGTCACAAAGGATAATAGCGCATTTTAATTCATTGTTCCAGAGACGTCAGGGGAAACGATATAAATGTTTTCTCCGAAGCAATGTTCACTGGATTGGAGAACCTTGAATATCTGTAAGTCGGCCGCGGCCCCTACACAAGTAGTTTCCACTTTCACCTGTCACTTCCATCAGTTATTCGATGAAACTTTTCAAGTATTGCCCGGAGCGCAGCGATTTTCGATTTTAGTCACAGTAGTGATAAATAGGCCTACTATCAAGCAACACTCACATAATACCAACCTGGTTACAACATGGCTACAACATGGTTCAACATGGTACAACATGGTATACGAACATGGTTACAAGATGGTACAACACGGTTTAAAATGGTACAACATGGTTACAACATGGTACCAACATGGTTACAACAATGTACAATCAGACACCGTGTCTCAACGCCAGCGTCTCGCGTTCACGTGGGTACGTTGTCTTTCTTCGCGCAGGTACAGCGACTCGTTCAAGTTCTGCTGCCTGGCGAAGGGCCTCGTGAGCTTCGACAACTGTCTGCCGCAAGCCGACGCCTTCTCGTCGTGCGAGGACCTGATGAGCAACTACACGCTGCGCATCTCCATCTGGGTGCTCGGCACCATCGCCTTCGCCTGCAATCTGTTCGTCATCATCTGGCGGCTGAAGACGAAGGACGCGAACCGCATCAGTTCGGGACTCGTGCTGAGTCTCGGCTGCGCCGACCTCCTCATGGGAGTCTACTTACTGATCATCGCCGGCGTCGATATGCACTACAGAGGACGTTACATCGCCTACGCCGAGTCGTGGCGCAACAGCACGCTGTGCAAGTTCGCTGGGTTTCTGTCGACGCTGTCCAGCGAGGTTGCCGTCTTAACGTTGACCCTCATCACGATCGACCGACTGATATGCTTAGCGTTTCAGTTTCGCGTGCGACGCTTCACCGTTAAGCAGATGTACATCATGCTCGGTACGGCGTGGATGGCCGCGACAGTGTTATCTTGCATTCCGTTTCTCATCGACAGCTACTTTCACGGACAGTTCTATTCGAAATCGGGCACGTGCCTTGCCTTACCCCTGACGGCAGAAGTGCATCCGGGATGGGAGTATTCCGTGGCGCTGTTTTTGTGCCTGAACTTTATCGCATTCGTAGTGATTATCGTGTCGTACGTGTACATGTACGTGACAATCACGAAGACTACGCGCGCCGTGCAGCGAATTTCGTCGCAGAAGTCGAAAGAGTTGTCCGTTGGTCGGCAGATGGCACTGCTAGTGCTGTCGAACTTTTGCTGCTGGGCGCCCATCATCATCATGGGGTTATTGGCGCTAGGCGGAGCTGTCGTCATTCCAGGTAAAAAATAATACGGATTTTCTACGTAGGGTTAACCCTAGGTGGAAAATCCGCATTCATTGTCTTGAGTGAATGACTTGATTGTCTTGATTGATAGAATTGTCTTGATTTTAATCTTTCTAGGTAATCATAAAAACATTTAAATTGTCGAGTAGCTCATCATTAGCACGTTTTGTTAACACAACATAATTTTCATCCATCGACGTAGGTGCCGTGTATGCCTGGACAGCGGTGTTCATACTGCCTTTCAATGCAGCTACTGATCCTATTTTATACACGATATCGTCTCTGGATCTGCGTACCGTGCGCTATGGGCTTTCCTGGAAGAATTCTAACAACAAATCTCGATACCACAGTAATGCTGCCAACGGTAAGGTGGTAATGACAACGACGACGACGCCCATGACGATGACTATGACGATAATAATGCGGATGATAATGATGGTGTCGATGCTCCTGCTTTATAAAACTCAGAATCCGCACTATATTTAATACGTAATGTGACTGCGTATAATCAATGAAACCCCACAACACTAATTCGTAGCATGTTTACACGGAATTCGGCGGTTTTTTGTAATACTGACATTACCTGCTGGTAGTGTGGTACGCCCGTGAATGTAACGTATTTCTGCAAAACAACACAACATTTACTGCTGCTATCTCTCTCTCTCTCTCTCTCTCTCTCTCTCTCTCTCTCTCTCTCTCTCTCTCTCTCTTTGCTAAATCCTACCTCTCTATTCTAAGAAGTACATGATGCAATTAAAACTTCTTAATTGTGAAATGTTATAAAGTAATTGCACAGGGAATACATGTAAATGACATTAATCTGTTGCAGCGATTATTTGGAAGGATTGCTTTAAGACGACTTGCCAGGTTGCCATGTTGTGTTCGTAATGTGTTTTGTTTTCTGCTTTGCTTATTACGTGCCTTATTTTCTCGTTGGCTTTGCTCTCTTTGAGATTTTTTTATACTTCATAACTAGAAAACGACATTGAAACGTTTGTGAATTGTTAAAATTAATGTGAATTAAGTAAAAAAAGGCTCTAGAATGTGCCAGTGATATTTAATAAGATCGACTGCTGGCGCCATTGCTTGTGATGTCTATCGTTGGGATGAAGTAAATTTTTTTTTTCCACGTTTCACACCTTATATTTACCATTTTTAATCATTAGAATAGCATCAGAACGGTTTATTCGGGAATTACAAAAGACGCATAATTATCAACAATAGCTAATTATAGAATATTATTGTGACGTAAAAAGTGGTGCGATAACACACCATGAAGAATGACTTGGAGTGATTGCGGTCGCGCAAAGAGGGAATGCCAGGATGCATCCCTATATCTCTTATTCTGCATGCGTGTTCTAGTACTTTTGGTCTGGCAAATTTCTTGAAAACTCAATGCACTGCTTAGATTTTTTTTTCTCTTACTATTTATTTTTACAAATAGCGTGGCTACGGCGCTATGGACGTATTATCGTATCATCCAAGCATAGCTATCACCTATAGCAGAGCTCCATATACAGAACTTAAAAATGGCGTGATGTGACCGCTTCGGCTTTTTTGTTGCGTCTATAGAATTTTATTTACTAATATGCGTATGTAGCAGTAGTTTATCTGGTTTTACTGGAAGCGCACGCACCGTTTACTCAAGACTCATAAATAACTAACTGACTGTTATAAACACGTAGATTACTTCATTTAGTTCATACGCTGAAATAATTGTGCTCTATTAAAAAACATCCTAGCGTAATCTTTAAGCGCAACGTGGTGTGCCTACAATACAAGGAAAACGCGGGACATAAAGTGCTAATAAATATTCGATCAAATAAGTGTACTACTAGCGGGCAGCAGGTTTGCCTGATTTAGTGATTTTTTCATTTAAAATGGGAAAAAATTAGATTGAGGCAAATTTCAGATATGTGCAATAATCCGCCATTTCCCCATTTTATCGTAAATCTGAACGACAAACGATCAGTCGTAAAATAATACAATCATTCTAATTGTATAGTGTTTAATGTTACTCTTGATATAGCCGTTGTTACAACTATAACATATGGTATTTTATCAGTCAAATCAATGAGAAAGATCTTTATATTAATTAGAAAGCGCCACTATATTATAATTTTGCTCGTTCATAACCGGTTCATGACTATAATATCATCATATTTCATCATAAACAATAGATACTCTATTGAGAAATATAGGAAATCTATTGTGTTAACATAGCATGAAGTATATATAGTCAAATATCATATTATCATTCGTTTTTTTTTATTCAGCACGAGTGCATTAGTGAATCACCTCTTCACATATTTATTTATCCTATAGTTGGCACAGCGCCGTAGAGCTACTAATATCGTGCACTGTGCAATGGCAAGTCGTCTTTTGCAGGTGCATCTGTGTACGATCGACAAAGTAAGATTAACAACTATTCTGTCCCAGTCAATGACGGTGGCGACCTCGCAAAATCCTTGCGAAAAAAGCCCACTTTCAACCACAAGGCGCCACATGGCTACATATCACTGACGCAGTTCCTCAAGGAAAGCCGGCCAATCAGGATCGATGATGTGCGTTACATCACCAAGGTCATCTGTGAGACACTCAACCAAGTGCACAAGTCCGGCTACGCTCTCGGTCACTTCGAGTCCGAAACGATCTTCATCAGTAGAAATGTAAGAATGAATTCCGATGGATAGAATTCTCACGGCGATGCCGATTCCTATAATGAACCCCATCGTATTGTCGTGTTTACTTATGAGGGAATGTTTTATGAGCGAGTGCGACATACATGAATAGATTCGATGGGGATGCGAAGATAGAATATAAACATACTGCTAAATGCATAATAATGAACGTAATTGCGTTCATGAAAATGACATGGGCTGATTTCCAAACGTATGTCTGCCCAAAGAGAAAACTTTAAACAACTTCTAATAAGTCATAGTTAAAAAATGCCGTACAGTCCCTAATGCGTTTGTTAAAGGATACAGAATTCGTACGTGCGTCGACGGAGACGCTTCTGTTTGCGTATGTTTTTGTTTTGTTCTGCGTCTCCAGCTCCTGGCCAGGTTAGGTTTTTATCGTCTCAGCTACTGAACGCGTGCGGGCTTTTACAAGGCGGTAAACTGATGCTAGAAATGGGAGATTCTTTCCCGCTATTAACCGACAAGTCATAAGAAAGTAATCGCCTGATCTGACAGCTACGGCTTCGCTTATCACCGGACTAGAGAAGACTGTTCAGATACCTAAGACAAGATATTACGGACGATATATAAGATGTATGTGATACACAAAGAGACAAGATAGGGAGACACGATGAAAATCCCCACCCCTAGCATAGTCAGCCTAATATGTTAAGCCTATTATCGAAGTTATTAAAATTCAATTGTTCAATTGTGAATCACATCTGCTAGACTGCTTGCGTGGGTCTCCGATTTGGGAGAATCGACGCACGCATCACATAATACATGCATGAATGGTTTCCTTGTCTAATCAAGGGAGAAGGAGACGGAGACAAACGGTCCCCGGATACAAAAATATCCTAGGTTTGCAATGGCTTTAAAGTACTTATGTCTCAATTACACCCAAAATAAATCTGTAGTAAAATATAACCTCACCTATAATATATAGTAGTGAATAAATTACGAATTAAACCAGCTTGAAAAAAAATCAGTAAATTTTGTTGTTAGTTGCTATTAAAAAGTAATCGAACAGAAAAACTTCTGCAGTGTTTCTGAAGCAAAAAGAACAAAAAAGGAATGCAAAATTCTTAAAATTTACGAAAAATAATTTGAACATGTCAATCATGTTTTAGAATAGAAATCGTTTTCATCTGCCACATAGATTCCCCTAGCTTGCGCATTTACGTGTGCGAGATATATGCCCTTAGCTTCTATAATAAGGTCATATAGTAATGTTAACTACGACGTCACACGACACCAGGAAAAAAATATAAACGAATTTTTATTCCTAATCGTTAAAATTTCGGTGGGTATGCACGAGTGTTGGCAGGCATATTACCTTCACCACGAGCGTCAAACACGAGTGCGGTAACATCTGAGAAGTGAATACTCTAGAAAGTGCACGCGCCGTGTAAGTAGATGTGTGTACTGTGTTGCAGGTGGCGGATCAGATTCACGTGTACGTGCCGGATCTAAACGCTTACAAGACGGGCGTCTACCCGACCCAGAAGCACAGCGACGACACGGCGCAGGACATGGAAGACCTTGCAAACATCGTCAAGCGCATGCTGAGAGCATACAAACTGCAAAGTCGCTACAACTCCGAGTGCAATGTCTCGCACGTGTAGTGAAACCACCATTGGTCGGTCGGCTCGTGAGGATTCACCCAGATGTATGCAGATTCTGGTTATCTGTGCTCGAAATAGTATGATGATACTAGAATTTCGAAATTAAAATTTAACAGGATTTGCCCGTGCACTTGCAAATCAATCGAAATTGCAAAAGATTCGCGATTTATCGTAAAAGCCTTTGAAGTATGCGGCAATTTTTCACACGACTTCTAGTGGGTAATTAATGTAAGAAACTAGTTATAAGGCATGTACGTTTTGATTATATGTTTATGTAAGTCATTCGAATTACAGTATTTGTTATATATATATATATGATAACAATAAATTATGTCTCCTAATTAATCAAGAAAATGCGTAATAAGGGCGACTGTTCAACCATAAACCACGAAAATATATTAATATGACAGTGAATTAGTTCCAATTACTTGCAACTACGTGCAACAGGAAATCCGAAAGCGATATAATCTATTTCATACAATCAGCATGCAATGTGATCGCCGTGTGTAACGATATAGCACCGTCAGTCCAACGTCTCATATGTATGAACTAGTTTTAAAACTGTTAGTTGCCGTGTTTGTACAGGACTTGTCCACGTTCTATTTACTACACTGCCTTGACTTGTGAATTCCATAATTATAGACACTCATCTTAACCGCAGACGATGCCACGTACAGTGAACGGGGAATCAGCGCAAAACATAGAATGTTTTAACATCACTCATGAGGTGTATTTATTATCATGTCGTCTACGTGAGTGTTGCGTACTCAATTTGTGTTGCGTTTTAGGAATAATATAATTGCATTATATCGGTCAAACCTATCACTGTCTGTGCGCAATTAGCGTTAAAATGTGTTATACGTTTTGAGATGATGATCAGCGAATAGCGTTCATTACAAATAAGGATATCCGATAATGTAATCACGATATGAGTAGAATTTTGTTAATTATATGCACAATTACGGAGAACTAATTGGAGCCCTCAAAATGTCAATTATTGTTGCTTAAAAAGAACATGTTAACAATAAAGGTACCGGCGGCGCTGCGCTTATTTTTGATTGAGATTACAGTTTCAAAAGAAATCATTTTCAGGGATAACCGTCAGGTTTCGGGTATTCGCTGCTATTATAAAGTATACCTATTAAATATACGCGTCCCTTCGTGTTATTACGATATTTTGTAATAACCGTTCCACTAGAATTATCACTCCAACCGGTGGCCTAGAATGTAAAATATAGTGTGATAATACCGTGAGCATTTCCATAGCAGGTTATATAACAGCTCGTGTACTGTGAATGCTCTTGCAAGGTAGTTATTTCACCACTATTTAATAAGACGCATCGACCTGCATTTCTTGCTAACGAGGGTAAGACAAGTGGAAGCTGTTAGAGCTATCTCATTTAATGGCGATGTATTCTAATGGCATATATATGTCTTGGGATTTCAGATGTGTAATTCCCCCTAAATGTGAATCCCCTGTGTGCGTTAAACGATGACGTCAGCACATTTATTGTGTCAGAACGTTATGTGACCACGATTTGCTGTATATTGTTTTTTATATTTACTATGACATTTTTATTGGCATGTTACGGCTGTACGCTTATAGACAACAAATCCTTTATTCCCTACGATGCAGCAATAAATTATTAGTTATTTAAATAAACTAAAATAACAGGCGTGAGTTTAATCGGATTAAATCGATCACTGACACTGTTTTTCAGCTACTCTACCATGATTAATTAGATTGACTATATTATGCTAAGATTAACAGTTGTAGGAACCTGTATGAGTGTGTGATAAATACTGCTACACACTTAAGCACCCTCAGTCATGTGCTCTGTTAATTATTCTCGTTTGCGAGATGAGAATCCTTGTGTTTTTGCGTTTGTGAGATTCAATACAGCAATCAATCCAAACAGACTGTTCGCTTGTTTCGATGGGCTGTGTTGCGAGTGAAACAATGGGTCTTAGCCAGCTGACCTATGACGCCTATTTTACGCAAGAACAGTGCTCACATTCATTGCCCATCGCTACTACTGGGCCATCAGTTCATTGGGTTTTCAGACTATAATGCTATGGTCGCTATGCAGTCTCTGCATGGCAGCTATAATACGATGCAACCGTACAGTGTGATGTACTTACATGCAGTGCACACCGATGACGTCATATAACAAAAGCGACGTGGTCACTGATCTATATACAGGGGCGTAGCCAGTATGTAGCACTGTAGGCCCGGGCCTACACTTTTTTTGGCCAAGTTATCTTCTTTTTTTTAAACACCCATAATTCAAATCCATAAGCTTGCTGGACGAGTTTACGAGTCTAGACAGGAAAAACTATTGAAATGAACGTAGCAAGAATATGGCTAAATTAGGTGACCTATTCTTCTGTCATCTAGGCTGTCATTTCTATCGCGTGCCGTTTCATTCAACACTCTACCCGCCGAAAAAGACTAGGATCCGATCTTGTCAGTTTTTTAACATTTTAACTCGTTCGTAACACTATTTTAACTCGTTTGTTTTTTGGGTTTAAAAGTGATATTGAATGAGGTGTCTCAAGTTAGCAAGAGGCCAGGGAACCAGAATGAACACTCGAGAAGGGCCGTTTCCGGCCATCTGGGGGGTTTGTAAAACCAAAAATTTTTTTTTACGCTCCGCGCCAACCCATGGTGGCGCTCCGCTCAGATAGTCGTGCCTACAACTTTGAAAATCCTGGCTACGCCCCTGATATATAAGTGTGTGATATAATTATATAAGTGGATGATAATGTTAACATTGAAATTCACACGCATTTCATCTTGCATTCACGCACCTGTTATCGACACTCTTCAGTACGCATTCTTCGTCGGAAGTACACGACGCCGGACGTCAGGAAATACAGAAAGTCAAATATTGGGACTGATAATGAAATTGCGACAACTGCGGAGGTTTTTTATCGCGATTTTGGCCTCAATGATTTTTAACGTCAAGAAATACAAAAATTCAAATATTTGGGCTGATAATGGAATTGCAACAACTGCGGGTTTTTATCGCGATTTTGGCCTCAATGATTATTGACATTTCGTTACCAGAGATAGCTCATTTGTCTCTATCTAACAGGAAGGATTTACTAAAATGTCACTTCATACTCGCGCTATAACACACAAAAGTGTAAAACTACAGGCTGTTGCCTCTGTGAGGGAACTAGATCAGAACTAATCGAAATATCAGCCTAAGCCAGAAAGATAATATCGCGTTTGAAGATCATGATAGCGGTCAATATATGTAATTTTCAAGGTCACGTATGTTCTACGATTCGATAAATTTAGCATGCATAATAGTCACGTATAATCATATGACAATGTAATTTAATTATCCTGTTTTTTTCTGTGTCAATATTTGCTCCTAATTATACCTAGCTTATATGATGTAGTCAGAGCGGACCTACACGATAACACTGGCTTGCTATAACCGCACTTTTGCCATCAGTGCATATTATTATGTCACGACATATACATATGAACGACATATACATCAAAACAGCATCGCGTGAGGGTCTAAGACGTGGGATACAGGTTCGAGAGCAGCAAACACCCTCCGCGTGAAAGTGAAGGTCAATAGTCACACCTTCGACACAGCGTCTGTCAAATCTATCTCGCTGATCAACTGGAAGATTTCTATTATTATTTTACAGTACATAATCCGACGTAAATATAATGAAAAGACTTCAGTTGTTGCCTACCGTTTTAATGACTTTATTGAACGTGTAGTGTCTTATGTCACTATAGCTTTTTGGTTAGATATTACTTCTTATATTAAGTTGACGAATTTCCTTATTTTTCGAGAAGTGAGCCAAATACCGATAATCTGAAATCGGTGAACTCTGCGGAACTGGAAGACATAATACAACAGAGGCATCAGCCGGGAATTACACATTACATTGCAGCCCTTGTTCTTATGATGTATTTTTCCTTATTTTTACTGTGTCAATACTAAGAAACATACACATGCCTACGACTGAATTCTACAGGTGTCTGTATATACCTTTAGTGAGCCGTCTAATGTTTATGTGATGCATGGACACAGTGTCCTTTCAACTGAATTTTGTTCAACACTGTTTGATTTAGTGAGCATATGTAAGTTTCATGTCAAGATAGCCCGCCGATGCTTACGACGTGTCCCTTTAGACTAAGTAGTTGCCGCTAGGGGCACACAAGTGACCGAATATTGCTGTTTCTCTGCAAGCGAGGATGAATAGCCCGTTTTGTCGTGATATGTCTCAACAATAAGTAGTTGTTCTTCTGCAAAACACGCGCTGTGCGGTACAATGAGTTCGATTGGCGATTACAGCTTCAACCCTGCGGGGCCAACCGGCCAACATTGTTTGAACTACGAATCCGCTTTTAAGAATTTGTAATTAAAAAACCTTTCCGCGAGCCAAACGAAAGTATTGTTCACGTTAAAACTGTAAAGCTGAAATACAAAGTAACATTGTGTCATCGAGTGAGAAATATATTATAGAGATTTATTATGTTCGAAGCGAATATTAAACACACGGAGTGCTCTGGAGAATAGCCGCACCGTCTTACTAAATCCAAACATGACACCGATTGGTATTTTAATGAATCGACGCCTTTTCAGAACTCCACACGGACTGTTGGGTGTGGTATAAACGTCGAGGTGTTGAGGAAAACAGGCATATCTAGAATAGCAGCAACCTGCGCTGAATCCTCTTCGAATCTCGGCCGTGCTTGTTTGCGACACGTAACCACGTTTGTCGGCGGATAAAGGGCAGTCTGTTCTCATTGTTATAGGCGGCACGAGTTAAAGCCACGCGTGGCAGCGTATCTCTCGTCCGGAAGTAGCCCTCTCACTCACACTCGTCTCGACTGAAATACGACTTTGTGTTGTGGCGCGCATTATGTTGCTCGCCTATAGTTGGCGGTTAGATATACCGCCAGCGTGAGAAGTCATGCGCGTAGTCAAAGCGCCGCAGCATAGTTTAGTTTCATTCACGCGGCTATATCTCTAAAAAAAAAGAACATGAAAATTTTAAACGCGGCAAATTGACATTCGTTCGTGCGTCGCTTATTTAATATTTGCATTACAATATCTGGACACATTCAACACGCTGCGGACTCACTCACTCACTTATTGCTATATCAGTGAGTGATTAATCTATCTGGATCTCATTCACGCACGCTGCTGACCGCCGACGATGATCCGTGAACAACCACTCTAACGTTTTGACCCCAAAAAATGCGCCCATTAGCGATAATTGTCCACCGTGTGCATAACGATCTATGTAAACAACACATAGGAGTGACTCCGCGGAACGAAAACGAGCGCGCAACTAGGTCACCATTATGCCGATAATCCCAACATATAACGTCTAATTGTTGTATGTGGGTCTTCATTCGCAGTCGAATGTGGCGAAGTGGTGTATTGCCGACAGCCTGGTGTTCAGGCGTCATTGGCGACGTCAGCTACAAAGGGTTCACATCGCAGCTCCACGTGTGCTTGTCCTGAGGTGACAGACTCGTGAACGAGAGATACTCAGTAGTCTCGCGACAAAACCATCTGATTGCCAGGCCTGGATTTGCCTGTTTCTTAAGTCTTAGCTAGGTAAGTTGCTGGTATTTTTTACACTAGTTTATTTCACATTACCGCTACTACCCTAATTTTTTTGGTTTCTGATGCTTGATTTGAATTTGTGACTTGTAGCCTATTCGATGTTCAGAACGTCAAACTTTCTAAATGCTCAAAAATGCGCACACATGCATGCGCGCACGCACGCACGCACGCGCACTCGAAAGCACGCATACGCTATGATATACGCACATATTCGTGCTGCTTGAACAGGCCATGATTTACTGTGACAACAGTTAAATGTACTGGAGCAACATACGGCGCCATAATAATAACAGTAACATCGCGTGTTCCCACATCGCGTGGTAAGGCTGGGGTCGTTGCCAACAAATGTGTTTGAACTTCGTACAACTGTCACAGCATATAATAATAGCAATTATTTTCCACAATATCAACTATAAAAATACAATAGTAACTTTCTTCACTATATATATATGTGGTTAAACCCCTACTTCTAATCATGTTTGATGTAAACAAACGCTCACAACTCATACACGGCACCTTGTAGGCACAAACGCTCGAACAGCTTGTGTGCGTAAAGTTCAATCGCCTACTTTTGATTCTTAGGAACTAGTTTAAAAACAATATTTAAAAAATGAAGTTGATAATGTATTTAGTGCCGTTAGCACTTACAGTTTATATGACAATATTGATTTTTTGTGTGTAAATATACGTCGTAACATTCGTGACGTAGTTAATTTATATAAATATTACAAAATTATGATGAATAATATTTTTTCATCGTTGTTTGAAAATAGAATAGCGATTGTGTATGCGAAATAGGCTAGATGTAGCCGGTTCGCTAGGTCTGCTGTGTAACGTCATCACGATAGCAGATTTATTCTCTGATACGAGATAATTATTTTTAATAATAGCCTCGTTCACACGAGACCTCGTATTTATGAAATACGGTATTTGCGAAATACCTAATCTGAGACAAATACGCGGCCGAGCGTTCACACGCTGATTCGCGGCTTCAGAAATCCGGTATTTAGCGTTCACACGAGGAAATGCGCGGTCCAAGAGATCCGGTATTTCTCAAGCACGGTAAATTATTCGGGGTCTGGGAAGCCGCGTATTTACATCAAATACCGGATCTGTTTAGATACCGTATTTCTTGGACCGCGCATTTTGCCTCGTGTGAACGGTAAATACCGGATTTCTTGCTACGTGTGAATGCGGCTATTAAGGAAGTTTCGCCGCTCATTTATTGCAGCTCAAGATGGTGACTGACATAAAGCGGCTCGCTGTTCTTCTAAGCTTCGCGGTGGTATGTATAGACTCACTTACCAGATTGTTCTTTGTGAGGTTCGGAGATCGTTTTTTGTGAGGCTTGGTTACTAGGAAATATAGGTTGAATACGGGATAGTTACTTGTGCATCACCAGAGGTTAAAATCCGCATACTGATAACTACCTGATCGCTAACTGGTTAGCTGGTGTTAACCTAACGCTATCCAACTGTATAATCATGATACGATGCAATAGATCAAAATGAATAATATTTCGCTGTCCATATCTAAACCCGTGAAATTTATGTTTGAGTTGAGTAGAGCTGAGTTAAGCCGAGTTGATTTATTGCAATGCTCCTCCACCCCTCCCCCCCCCCTAATCCGCGCACCTTATATGTGCGCGATCGTAAGCAAGGACAGCATCATCCGCGTTGAGCTATGGACTAATAATCTTCTTCACACACACCTGTATGTTACAGATTTGCAGCTTCGCGTCTAGCCTGCCTGAAGGTAGAGATTCCCATAGTCATCTACTGCACGCGCTCGACGACTACGTCGCCGTACCTTCGCGCAATGGCGACGCTGTTAAACCGACCGCGTCGATCAGTTTCCGTACTGCTCAGCGTCCAGGATACAGCCGTGGTGCACCCGAACAGCCGCCAGCGCCGCATAGCGTGTACGAGTCGACACAGAACGGCGGCAGCTACTCCTTACCGAGTGGCGAGCTGCATTATAAACCCGTGATTGAAGAGAACGGTTACCGCATCAACCGGGAACCCGGATCGTATCGTCAGAGGACAGGTCAGCGCGACGAAGCCGCACGCGGCGTTGCAGGCGGAAGCTACGAGGAAGCCGACAACGCACGACAGGGCGACTATCACACGCAGTCGTCGGCCCGACGACCGAGCGCGCAGCCATCTTACGCTGAACAAACCTTCCCAGCCCTGCAGCGCACGGAGACGGAGCCAAGACGTCCGGCACCGTCCGTTGAAATTCAGTTCGAAACGAGAGGTTCGGCGGCGTCGTTTGATCGCGAGGGGACGGGGAGAAAAACACCTCGCGAAAGGCAACCGCCCGGGAGCCGTCCGTCGGCAGGCAACGACAAATACGAGCGCAGCTCGCCGCCGCCATATTACGAACCTATCGACGCACCATCTGGCGCCGCCCCGGCCGCGAATTCCGAGTTAGTTCGACATCAGCAGAATTACGGGCGCTTGACCGAAGATCCGTATTTGCCCCTACCAGTGAACGACTTATCGCGGGCGCCCGCTACGAGCTACCTGAACGAACCGATCGGCCAGCCACCGCGGGTTGACGGAAAGAAATATACGGAAGGACGATCAAGCTACGAACTTCAAAAAGAAGACAAAATTAGCGGTATATAAACCCGGGAAATGCGATTAAACGGTTTTGGTTTAACATTCTAGACCAAGTTTGCTATTACACATTACGGTTTAAGTTTTATTGCTCATCGAGTCATTTACGGATGGAACCTGGAAAGTGGTCATTTAAGAAATGTCCTAATTTTTCATGAACCAGTTCACGTATATTATTTTTATATTCATCTGAAATCTTTCAACTAGTCTCGGCCACGCCATTATCTCGCACGTATTCAGCATCTACATATAATACGTGTAAATTGACGAGCATTTACGCTGAGGATTTTCGCTCTTAAACCTATTTGGTGATCTCGTACATTTCATTCGTAATCCCCCATTACCATAAACCCCCGTATTACGTTCTCTCAGTGCGACAATTAAGCAATTGTTGCTTCTAACCAAGTGCGATGCCTAATCCATCACCTGAGTGATACGCTCTACTGCGTGTTCATAATTGTGCGCTGCACACATCGCCTGCTGGACAGCTAAAGGAAAGGTTGGGTGATACTACATTAGGAGTGTTCCCATTAATGGTCATAATAACACACATATATATATAATCTCTTAATCCAACCATAGGTGGACAGTACCGAAAACTAGTGTTATACGTAGACATTTTCCATACGCTAATATATCTACAGTACTGCAAAGTAACACAAATGCAATTTCTAGAAATAGTACATCTATATTAGTGCGTTTAGGGGTATAGACATATATTTGTTAAAACTATTCAAAGATAGATATACACATATATGTCTACTTAAGTCTGTCTACCTAAGGCACTAACTGACTGTTTACTTAAGGACTGATTTTCCATTAGGAACGTATATATGACACTTTTAGAAAATGTGTTCTTAACAACACATTTAAGCTTTATCATATTTAAAAATGTTACAGGTCAATAGAGCGAGGACACCTCTACTAGATAAACACGACATAATTATAAATTTAATGAAGAAAACGAAGTTATAGCATGCTAAACATTAGGTAGACAGCAAATATGTCTACCTAACAAATTTGTCTACATAACGGCTGGTTTTTTACACCCGATGTCTACATATGGTAGGATTAAGAAATATACATATATGGTCATGGTCATATATTAGTTTGTGGTTTAATGTCATTTAGGTTAGGGTTAGGGTTAGGGTTAGGGTTAGGGTTAGGGTTAGGGTTAGGATTATCAATCATTAATCATTAATGATATTAAAGTTGGGAACACTCCTAATGGAGCGTTAGCCTAAAGGTTAACCTAATTAAAGGTGAAGCGTACGATTTTGCGCCCACGGAGCCGCTACGACTAAACACCATTGCATACTAATGACTCTTCGATTTTCCACCCATTCTAGAGGTTTTTGTCGCCTGCTATCCGGGCTATCAGGAGAAATCTATGACGGTGGAGGTGAAACTCAAGAAACCTTTCCATGGGAAATTATACACGAAGGGATTTTACGACACAGAGCAGTGCACGACGTACGGGACGGGAAGGTCATTTGCCTTGATTACATTCCCGCTGGACGGCTGCGGCACGAAAGAATACTCCGACCAAGCCGCTGTAAGCTCCATTGATTACTCAGCTGACACGAGGTGCCACGATCAGTTTCTAGAACTGTATAAATCAATCAGAAAATACACGGGCACCTGGTGTAGCTATTTCGCAATGCGCACGATAGAAGAGTAGAATTGTATCGGGGTCTGTGTTCCTATGTTGGAAAATTGTCCAAACGCGCATTTCGCTAAGCAGTTAAATGCAGCATCGTTGTTGTGAGCATAACGCTCGATGCACTTTCGAAAAAATCCTCGTGAATAAGACCGCATGTAATGTTATATTAAACTTAATTTTATCTGTATTGTGTGAAGGATAACTATCATTTAAGTTTAGTGAAAATATTATGCTTCTTGCAAATCCGTTGTAAATGATGTAATGTTGGGGGAAGGAAACGATTATACGGATACGAGAGTAATTTAATTACATGGGAACCAGAAAATACCAGGTAATTTTCTCGTGATTCACGAATGCAAGTCACCTGGGACGCGGGAAATCCGAAATTGCGATTTTTATCAACCGAGAACTCGGAAAACAGCACAGACTTTACCTGGGAAACAGAACATTGATCCGCCCCGTTTCTCGTCCCTTAGGGTTGCTTCCTCCGTACTTATACGTGAATATTTACGTGAAATCCACCATCCGTGAAATAGCGAATATTACGTAATGGAATATTTACGTATAATACGTGAAATAGACCATTATTAATTTTAAACTTTTTCCAACAGGGATATGCAACAACTAAAGTGACACGTTTTGATAGCACGGTGATCGTAATGTTCGATGCTGAGGCTCCGATCCTGGAGGAATGGGACCGCGCTCTGCAGGTCAGCTGCCAGCTCCAGGAGATGCCATACACCGTACTCAACACCGGCGTCTCCGTACCGTACGTAGAGAAACGCGGCGTATGTAGTTCTTACACATAAGTCACGGAAGAGATTTCTAGATAGAGAAATCTAGATGGAGATCTAGAGAATCCTAATTAAAAATGGAATTTCACACGCGATTTTTCCAAGCGGTAGTTTATGCGTGTTGAATGGATCACGGTTTATGTAGATATTGTATTTGATGGTTAATTTTATATCAGTTTCTTCATATCTTCGTTATGATGTTTATAAGTTCTGTGAGCGCTTACTGATGTTGCGTACGGATAACTGCGCGATGAGTCCATCATTCAATTACAAACAATTGACTAACAACTGGGTTTAAAGATAGGTCACGTGATTTCTCTAGCTTGACGTTGTTCCATCACACGTCATATTAATTATCGTGGTCGCATAAAATCTGCGCCGTCGCAACAACAGGCCAATCACAGCAGGTCGTGTTTTCTTTGTCAACAGCTTTTTAATCAATGTTATCAATGGTTATTATCAATTGCATATGCTTTCAGTGAAAGTGGTATTATGATCACATTGGTTAGGCCTACAATGTTTCTCGCCCTGCCATTGTTAGACATTACGGACAAAGCTAACCTTGTTTAACACATTCGTGCGCTCGTAAGCATTCGTGTGCGCTTGCGTATGTTTTGTACATGTCTTGTGTATGGATAAGTGCGCGGTTATGTGAGAAAATCCTGACAAAACATTTCATGACGGCGCTACTAATGTCTCGCAGGATGCTCGGAACGACTAATGTACCGCCGGCTCGCATACCTTTGCCCGAGGTCACGCTGAAGGTCGTTTACGGCAGGGACTATAGAGCGACGTCAGCTGATGTTCTTCACGTGGGAGAGTACGGCACGATCGTCCTGTCCGTATCCGACACATGTAAGCTAGCGCTCATCATATACCTATGTTACATGTTATTGTCTGCAATAATATCACTGTTAATAATATATATATATGTGTTTATATATATATATATATATATATATTAATGACGATCGAGAGTTAATAATGGCGTAGGAATATGACATTGATTGCTTTATAAAATATTGTGTTAATGTGGTATATAATTATTACAATTTTTTTTAGATTACTGGGATATTAAAGTCCACGCTTGCATGGCTCATGATGGGACTGGATACAATGTTGTTAATTTATTCGACGAGAGAGGGTATGAACTAGTCAGCATTTATAACGCATATCATGTATCACAGACCGTATAATTTTGAAAACGCGTAATATTTTATGAAAGCAAATATTCGGTATTCATATTTGTAATAAGGTTTTCGGCCATGTTTTCTAGGTGTCCAGTTGCAACAAAATTGGTTGAAAGTTTTAAGAAGGCAACGGAGCCGCATCAGCAGGGTGAAGGCAGCGTATTTGCTCACTTTAAAGCCTTCAAATTCCCCGATAAGCCGTCAGTGTACTTCCAATGTACAGTGGAAATCTGCTTCGAGCAATGCCGTGAGGTACCTGGATAGAATTACATAATAGTGTCTCATCACTGTCATGGTAATAAAGTAAATGCTAAAATTAGTCCAGCGAAAACCATGAGGTAACATAACATCATAGCAAAAAGGTCGCTTCAAGCGGTTGTTTGATTAACAGGTATAATGTAAATTACGCGCATGTGTTCACAACTGTCCTTATCCCGACAGCTCAAGCTAAGCGTCAGTTCAAGCTCGCTATATTATTGACACAATTCAAATGGTGGCTTTTCCCACAATCGATATAATTATTATTATTTATAAGCGTGTCTGCACATTTTATTATCGATCTGTGGTTTTGTCATTACAGGATGAATGTAGTTCGAGAGTTTACGATACAAGAGAACAACTGACATATCATAGGCTCCGCAAACGAGATATTAACCATCAATACAACGAAAATATGGCAAACGGCACGTCATCCGACATGCGCGACCTCTATCGCAGCGTAAATGTGTTAATACCTGGAGACCAAATTTCCAAGGAGGATACAAGTAAGCCGGCGTAATTGATATGCGAAAAATAAAACAAAACAGTAGATATTGCGAGTTCGAGAGCATTTCGACAGCGCGTATCTGAATTCAACGCACCAACTAGAAATCGGGAAATGTCGAAACGTCTGTACACATAACCGGAACACACTATAGAACAAACGTGAATTTCGTTCGTGAACATAGGAGTTATTCTCGCTTTTACTTTTGTTGCTCAGAATCCATATTGTTTAGCGAGAAGACGACGAGTGCGCTGTGCGTGAACAGGAATGCTTTCGTGATCGGACTCCTGATTCTGTGTGCGATGCTGACTGCTTCGCTCGCGGCGGCTGTCATCTTCTACGTCAAGCTTCGATACAGTGCGCCGAAACCATTGCTGGACAACGTCCAAATTTCTATGAGACCTAAACACCCTTAATTGCCTGCATTATAAGCCGAACGATGAGGCGTAGATATAAGACGAGTTTACGTTAGAAACAAGTGTATAACGCTTGTAACTAACCTACACGTGCGAACTAATGTAATCGTTTTTTCATTCAAACACAATTTATATTACAAAATGCGGTATATAATATGTATGTGTGTGTGTGTGTGTGCGTGTGCGTGTGCGTGCGCGTGCGCGTGCGCGTGCGCGTGTGCGGTGCGTTGTGTAGGCTGTGTGCTGTGCTGTCGTGTGTGTTGGCTGTTGTCGTGCTGTCGTTGTTGTGTGTTGGTTGTTTGGCGGGAGCGGGGGGTTCGTGTGTGCTTGAATATCAACCTAACATGATGGACATATAGCGTAACGTACACATATATATATATAATATATATATAGTAATAGTACATGCGCTGCGCGTGTATAGTGTTAACATGTGGTTGTTTGTGTATGTGGTGGTGTGGTTGTGTGTCGTGTGTGTGTGTGTGTGTGTTGTGTGTGTGTGTGTGTATGTGGCTGTGTTGGTGTGTGTGTTGTGGTGTGGTGTGTGGTGAGAGAGAGAAGTGCTTATGTGTGTGTGTGTCCTGTCTTTTGTAAATAGAATGTTATGGGGTGTGCAAAGCTAGTTACTCGCTGTTAGCTGTGTGGCAAGTATGAATTTAAATATTGAACAACGTACTATTGTTAGAAAATATATACCGCATGTTATCTTTTTCAAATGTCCTTACTTTACATTACTTGCATTTTTATTTTATATACCTGATAATAATAATATATATATATATATTATAAAGATGCAACCCGCGAGCGGGCGGGGCCCATCGAATTTAATAAACAACTAACAAAAGTTTATTTTATCAAGTAATATTAACCAACAGTAATACAACGCGCGGTCATATATATTATGTGAAAATAAATAACATTCTGTTATCGTGGTGAGTAAGCTGTTAATCCTATCTACACAACAAGACGAAACAACGTCAACTAGCATAAAGATAGCAAGTCGTAAGCTACGAGCATAAGTTCTTCGCTTCGCAAAATTTTACGATAACTATGCTAGAGGTTTGTATTGCCATGGTAATAGTGTCATAAATATCTGCGAGAATGAACTGTAGTGGCCCGTAAACACCATGCAGTCCTACAACTCTGTGAGACCGTGATCAATCGTTGATACAGTCAAAAATTATTGGCGGTTATAGGCGAGGCGTTATTGAAAGTTTACCATTCGGTAACGCATTTATCACAATAACACTTGTTGCAACAATGGGTGCATATAAGGGTGGGAGAGTTGCCACAGTACGCCGCGTAAATTAGATTTCATTTTGAGTTTTACCGTCGCCGCGAAAATGTTGCAGGTAAACAGTGTTCAAAATGTTATATCGATCTGTGCCTAAGTAATGCAGAGCACTCAATAACACCGCGTTGATCTACGTGCCTGCGTCCGTTTCACCGATAAAGTTAAAATGAGAATAGACACATTAGATCGGTCCGCGCATCGAACCTTGTAAGTCTCTTCGTCTCATTATCAATGTAACGTTATACGTTGTTCGTAAAATAGCAAAGAAAATATATAACGCTCTATTTTCGCGTTCGAATTTGATGGTGCCGTCGTTATATTTACAAATGATAGCTCTGTGTAACCTTTGGCCTTGCAAACTTTTACATTCGCCAAGTATGCTTATTAGTCAGACTGTAGAGTAACTGCACAGTTTGATAATCCAGTAGAATCGTGTACCGTAAAGCAATTCATTGGACGTGTAACTATAGACGCGCATACCTGTGGGGGTTAGTCAAGCGTCACGCGAGGCATAGATCATAAAAAATGAGTTGTAAGACAGGAAGAACGAACTCGGTCACAGCGAATGACAGCGAGCGTTGTCCTACCAGTAAATGGATTTTCAATCCGGATACAGCCTTCCTGTAGTGAAGACCAGCCGTGGGCCGCGATACTGGCTGTGGTCCCCAAGCTTACCACTTATACCGTAGTTGTTGTTTAAAATAGCCTTTCCATTGAAGTTCAGATAGGTTAATTGTTCCTGAAAGACATAAGAACGTTAGGTTAGTTTCATGTTACTTTTAGAGCGAGTCTTTACATTAGAGCAAAACTTCTGAACCAAAAAACATATTTACGTAACATGTCGTAAGCGGGCACTAGACAGGTTTCGCTTCAATATCTCTTCCCAAATAAAACATAGTGCTATTACTGTTGACGAAAATCTCTATCGTACTACATGTCGCTCATTCAAGAAAATTGATTAGGCCAAACGATCACTTATCCGGAAGCTGTTGCGCACCGCCTTTCAGGTTGTACTGGTTGTTGTAGTTCGTTCCGTTGGTGTTGTCGTTGTAGGCATGCCGTTGTTCCTTGTAATAGTTACCCGAGTGCTGTTTGATTCCGCTAGCATCGGTGTATTCCATGCTTGTATCCGCCCGTGATGGCGCTTTGTGAATCGTCGCCTGTGTTATAGCGGGTACGATGCAGAAGAGGTCCGGTTGATCTCGTAATGCAGCTTGGTCTGGCCAGCGCGTAACCGCTCAACCTTACGTTCTGCCCATAGTAGTTACTCGCCTGTAACGCAGTGTAGTGCTATTCCGCCACGTCTGTACCTGAGCCATTACGTAACTGGCAAGTGCCTATAAAAGAATTACGGGTTGTTTCAAAAAGATATGTTGAATACGGATAAAATTTGAAAGTTAAACAACAAGTATGCCTAGCAGAGGCAAAATGTGTTAATCTAAAAAGTTTTCTGCTTTTATCATATCATAAAGTATATAATACAGTTAACATTCTAAGCTCGTATCACTCAATTGAAGATTTCGAAAAAGAAATATTTGGTAAATTCTAGATCGCACTACCATATTCACATAGATACACCTGCGGCTAAGATTGGAAAAGCTGTTCATCTCCCGAAAGATAAAAACGTAAAACTGTGGTTTAACAATCACAATTACCTGCCAATTGAACTGTGATATATAGACGGCACTGCGAGTCTTATCCCGCCTGGATGCAACACCCTGTCAAGTTCTAAACGAGCTACTCCACTACTCCACCCGTAACTGCACAAACAGGATAAGTTCAGAGATGTCCTCCACATAAAAAACAGAAATGCAAACTAACCAGAATATAATGATAGTCAACAGCGTAAGCAGCGCCGAAATACAATTCGAGCCTGTCAGGTCCGTGTATGATATCTTTAATTTGTCGTCTAGCAAGGCTTTATAGAGTCGGTTGCTGGTCTTTGACCGGTGCGAAGCGGATCAAGCTAGTCGGCTTCGTGACTCGTCAATGAGTGTCATAAATGAAGTAACGATTGACCATGGTAACCCCAATCTGTGTCCACCAGCGTAATTACTGTCGAATGTTCAACGCAACGGTCACTGTTGTTGTAACCAAATCGCAACGGTACATCCGATATCGGTCAGCGAGAGAGAGAGACTAGAGTATTGCCGAAATATGTGGGTGCGCTACGTTGACAAGTGTTGACGCTCTATGTCCGCTTGGGTTGAATCGGGTCACTCAACCTTAGCCATTTCGAGGCGACTTTCATGTTTCGTTAGTCAAGCGCGGATAATTTACCGATCGCTTGCGCGCGTGCTGTATTTACGCGTCTGTAAAAAGTGCTGCTTTATGCAACAGTGGCGTTTCCAGCCAGCAGCGCGTCACCGAGAGGTCGCTGCTGTGTCGCAGCTTTAGTAATTAATCCTCCGGATGACCTATCATCAGACGCGTCTATTGAAGACAGGGTTGACTCAGTCTGGCGGTTGTAGGCCGACGCCACAAATCTGTTTTTTGATTTTCAATTAGCCCATATGTAAACCACCACCCCAGTTGAGCGTGGCTGCTAATCACGCGCTCTTCGACGGCAACCCAAGACTTTCTTTTGTATAGGCACAGGTTTGTGGCGGCTTCAGGCGATAGCGGTGTAGTTGGTGAAAATTAGCAACATCGCACACATATACAATGGACAACGGTAAATCGCCTATGTTCGAACGAACGGCGTGACGATTGCGGTGAGAGGTATATGAGCTTTCTATACAAGCTGTTAATGGCATTCCTGTCGAAGTGATAAGCGCGGTAGTCTCAGTTTATCCACAAATGATGTGACATGCGCGTCTGGATTGAAGCGACACATTGCAAAATTGATAATGATCGAATAGCATATAAACCATCTACAGGCTGTATTGGCTCTGGTGAACGTGTTACAAAGCATTTAGAAAATCAAACACCCATCCCTGTGCCACATATGCTGGGCGTTACGTAGTAAATAAGTTTTTTCGCTATAATGATAAGCCACGGATTTTTCTCTCTGCGATAAGACTCAACAAGGAAACACACATAGATGCTTTACTCATAATTCAACATCTGACATCACATACTAACATATATAATATGTATATGTGTGTGTGTGTGTGTGTGTCGTGTGTGTGTGTTGTGTGGCGTAGCGTGTGCTGTCTGTGTGTGTGTGGTGTGTGGTGTGTTGCTGTGTGAGTGTGTGTGGGTGTGTAAGTGGTGTGTTCGTGTGCTGTGTGTGTGTGGATGGTGTGTGTGTGTGTGGTGTGGTGTGTGTGCGGTGTGTTGTGGTAGTGTAATAGCCTGTGTCTGTTCTGTGTGTTCGTGTGTGGTGGTTGTGTGCACGTGAGCGCTGCTGCGGTCGTGCGTATCGGTGCGTCGTGCGTACTGCGAGTGCGCGAGAGTTGTCGGGCGTGTCTGTCCTGATGTAGTGTGTGTCGTTGTGTGTTGAGTAGAGAGGAGAGATGAGACGACGAGAAGACGAGAGAGGAGAGATAGAGCCGAGAGAGAGAGAGCGCGAGGCAGAAGAGTGGGCCGGTCGTGGCGTGTGCGTCTGCATGTGCGCTGTGCGCGTGCGTGTGCGTCGTCGTGGTGCGTGGGGGGCGGCCTCGGCGTCGTCGCGTCTGCATGTGCGTGCGTGGCGCCGTGCGTCGTTGAGTGCCGTGGTGTTCCGTTCCCGTGTGTGTGTGTAAGTTGATCGTGGTGGTGTGTGTGGTGTGTGTATGTATTTGTGGTGTGTGTGTGGATGTGTGTGTGTGTGTGTTTGTGTGTGTGTTGTGTGTGTGTCGTGTGTCATGTATGATGTGTGGTGTGTGTATTGCGTGTTGTCGTGTGTCGTTTGTGTGCTGTGTGCGTGTGTGTGTAATGCGTGGTGTGTGTTGAGCTGTGGTTGTGTGTGTGTGTGTGGTAGTGATGTGTGTGTGTTGTGGTGTGTTTGTGTGTGTGTTTGGTGTGTGGAGTATGTGCTGCTGTTTGTGTCAAGGTTGTGGTGTGTATGTTATGTGTGTGTGTGGTGTTTGTGTATGTGTGTTGTGTGTGTTGTGTTGGGTGTGCTTTGGTGTTGTGGTGGCCAATGTAGCGTGAATTACGTAATAGCTCATCCAATACGCAACTAAAAGAATATAACATGGGGTGCTGACATCAGGCAGATCAGTATTCATTCACGTTCAGCAGTTTAATTTCGGGCGTTCACTCTTCGGTCTATAATTGTAAGATGAACACACAGAACAGCGAGCACGCACACAACCACCGACACACACACAGAACACACCAAGATAAATAAATACAACATAGTATAGTATACGTAGATATAGTCAGTGGACTGCCAGACGAGAGAGGAGGAGAGATAGACGCATGAGAGAGCGAGCAGATGAGAACGCCGAGACGATGAGAGGAGAGGAGAAGGAGAGAGACGAGAGAGAGAGAGGAGAGAAGAGAGACGAGATAGAGAGAGCTATAATACTACTAATAATACTATACCGATATCTATATATATATAAAATATAGTTATTATATATGTATATATATATAACACAAGAGTATATACACGGCCAGGCCTGAGCCAATACTTTATGACTGACATTCTAGAGGTGATTGCGTAAGTAGAATAAGTAATAGAGAAGCCGTTTCCTTACAACTGAGACTTACCAGCGCCTAAACCTAAATACACTACCGCCACTATACACTCCCACCACTCCGATCCTATTTGCGCTGAGCACCAAACACAATAGCACTCATGCGAGACGCACTATTCTTGTAATGGCAATGCGGACGACATGATGTCCACAATATTCCGAGATACAACGTGCATACTACGGTATATACACCATCATACCTCCACCCAACAATAGACGTAGACACTCCCCTATCGGACGGTACAACACACTAAAGAAGTCGTACAAAATGAACGTAAGTATAGTCGCATCCCGTTATCGTTACTCACGAGCCAATAAAACAAAGCACAAACATCAGAAAACTCAACCAGGCTGAGCAAAGGCAGCAACTAATCCTGTTTTTGGCCTAAGCAGTGACTGCCGTGTCTTGACTTATGTCCACGTAGTTAATAATTTTACTACGTATATAATTAGTGTAAGAAATTTTAAGCTAGCAACTTAATTTATAATACTACTACTACTATACTATATATATTACTAGTATAACCCATGTATATTATATATATAAGAATATAGGCCTCATGCTGAAATTTTGTATATATTCTTCACACGCAAAATCTCCATTTTAAAATCTCACGCGATATTACATATATGTTTGAATTTTACATCTGTAAATCTCATTCATTATAGGCATTATACTAATATGAATTGACGTCTGACCCGACGCCGCGTAATTAATGTTTTTAGATATTCTAATTTATAGATTGCGCTATATCTAACGCTATTTCACAGATTAGTCAATTTATCGTCTAACTAGATTGCCGATTATAGAATGACTTTAGGTGTATCTGGCCAATGAGATGGCGCTAGAGGTGCGCAGTTGCCCATTTCTGCACTGGAGGCCCAACTACCTCACGCGCGCCCCGGTATTCAGCTGCTGTGCCGCCAGAGGCCGAGGCGTCATATCTCTTGCCACACTCTAGGACAATTCGTGACTCATAACGCAAAGTTTTATGTGCGTAAATCAACTCTGACTACGACGATAGAGCGGCGGAAGCGGCAAAGGAGCACACGGGGAGGGAGGAAGAGGAAGAAAGAAAAAGAAGAAGAGGCATGCGGGAGGAGAAGGAGGAGGAGTATAGTAGTATAGTAAGTAATAGTACTAGGAGTAGTAGTAGTAGTAGTAGTAGTAGTAGTATAGTAGTCATCATAATGAGGTAGTGATACTTAGGCTACAGTAGCTGCAAGGTAGCGAGGAGGAGGGAAGGCCAGGCCGACAGCGGAGGCCCACGGAGGCCCGCGGAGAGCATGGGAGCGAAGGATAGGAGGAACGGCGCGCAAACACGGACACGCAGGAGGAGGAGGAGGAGGAGGAGAAGGAGGAGGACGAAGATGAGGAGGATGAGGATGAGGATGAGTATGAGAATGAGGAGGATGAGGAAGATGGGGAGGAAAAGAATGATGAAGAGGAGAATGAGCAGGAGGATGGGGAGGATTAGGAGGAGGCTGGGAATGAGTAGGCTGACTTTAGGTGTGAGTACATATTTGTCAATAGATGGCGCAAGGTGCGCAATTTCATTTCCACTGAGGCCGCCAAATGACATCATCGCCTATTCACTGTTTGTCAAGGAGGCGGTCAACCTTCACATAGGACATTCTCACTCAAGCAGGAGTTTTATGTGCGTAAACAACCCTGAATGCGCGATAGAGAAGGGGGAGGAGAAGGGGAAGGAGGAAGAGGAAGAGAACGAAGAAGAAGAAGAAGAAGAAGAAGAAGAAGAAGAGGAGGAGGGGGAGGAGGAGGAGGAGGAGGAGGAGGAGGAGGAAGAGGAGAAGAAGGAGGAGAAGCATGAGGATGAGGATGAGGAGGATGAGGAGTATGGGGGGGTAAAGAATGAGGAGGAGGAGGGGAGGAGGAGGCGGAGCAGCAGCAGGAGGAGGAAGAGGATAGAATACGATGGCACTTGGCTGCATGCGTTCACGTTTCCAGAGATATCGCATTATAATCCGCGCCAGCTCTGCATTGGGCGATTGTTTTTTAAAGTTTCTAAACTGTTTTTGTTTTTTTAATGCATGTTCTGCATTACAGATTCTCCGATGCGGCAAATCATATTGTCATCGTGTTTGTTTCATTGCTGTTGTTATTCTTTCTATACACATTCAGTTAAAACTCGCGTTTGTCGATAAAAAGGTTCACAGCATTTGCGGAATACAATGGCAATGCAACATTAGTCTTAACATTAGTCTTAATATTAACCATTTCTCCTAGACCGTCGACATCACTTTGTTTCGTTTTGTTATGAGGAAATCTGCTACGATTTTTCATTCTCGTAACTTCGCTGCGTTTCTGTCAACGGTCTAAGAGAAAAACTCAATGTTAAGACTAATGTTAAGACCAATTTTGTTTCTGACAACGGGCCCCTGATTATTAAGCGGTAGTCCGCTAACACGCTTCCAATTGCACATGCATGCCTACTTGTATCTTTAGGCTAGCTTTAAAAATGTTTTATGCGCCTATAATGTTCAGAAGTAGCTAAAAAGCCGAAATTACCAGTTTGCTTTTAAGTTTAAGGTCATTTTACAACTTTCACTTAAAAAAGGAAGTTTATTCTGCATAAAATATCTCGTTTAACCTAGTGCTGCCCCCTTTATTCGTGTAAAATAACTTGCGTAAAGCTTGTTTTTCAAGGATTGTCCGATACGCCCGTATATCCGAGGACAGATGAAGCGGCGCCCATTCTATTACGTGATCTGTCAGCCCCCGCCCTCGCACTCGTAATCAAATTAAAGTTCAGAAAATAAATGCGATTTGAAATAAGTGCGATTGAAGATGAGTTTGGAAATTGGAATATAGTCTAATCGCTCTTGGTCTTTTACGTGCGTTATTATTATAAGTGCGTTATATTATGTACGTGTAGTAACAGTTTATTGTGTAGCAATTGACATTACATTTTATGCATTTAATTGTTTTTTCCTTAAATAATACTCATATACGTGACGCGTAGAGTAGCATATGGAATAGGGTGGGCGGATTGAATGCAATGAACAATGATAACTTTTGATGATTACATTGAAATCACACGTAATAATAATGTAGCAACATTATTAATTTACAGAAGAAAAAAGAATAATTCGAATATTGGAAAAATATTCGCTAATCTTTTATTATTATTATATCAGTAATTTCACTTATTCTTGAATCTTGAGTGCATTTTATCTAGGGTTACAATAAATTAGTATCTGCGCAATTATTTTTTGTCAAGATTTTTTGTTAAGATTAGGCAAGCTCAAGATTATCTTGCACTTTATACAAATATTTATTTTCTGCCAAAGACGTAAATACAGCTGGCTCATCACGAAATACATTTTATTTCCTGCATGCCTACATATACACGAGGAGCAAAAATAATATATATATATATATATATATATATAAAGATGCAACCCATCAATTTAATAAACAACTAACAAATTTATTTATCAATAATATTAACAACAGTAACAACGGCGTCATATATATAGTGAAAAAAATACATCGTTATCTGTGAGTAGAGCTGTAGATCCTACTAACAACGACGAAAACAACGTCAACAGCAAAAGATAGCAAGTCGTAAGCTAGAGCATAATTTCTTCGCTCGCAAATTTTACGATAAACTATGCAGGTATTATGTGCCATGTAATATGTGAATAAATATCTGCGAGATGAACTGTATGGCCGTTATTAGCGATTCACCATGCATCTACAACTCTGTGAGAACCAGTCGTAATTGTGATACTAGTAAAATATTGCGGATATGCGGCGAGGCGTTATTTGAAAGTTTACCATGTCGTAGCGCATTTATCACAACAACACTTGTGCAACAATGGGGCAATAATGGGGGGTGGGAGAGTTGGCCACAGGTACGCCCGTAAATAGATTTCATTTGAGTTTTACGTGCCGAAAATGTTGCCAGGTAAACAGGTTCAAAATGTCATACGAGTCTTGCCTAGTAATCAGACACGCAATAACATCCGCGTTGATACGGCGCTGCGCCGTTTTCACGGAAGAAGTTAAATGAGAATAGGACACATTAGACGGTCCCGCATCGAACTTGTTAGTCTTCGGCTTCATCTGACGTGATACGTTAGTAAAATAGCAAAGAACAATATAAACGCTCTATTTCGCGTTCGAATTTGATGTGCCTCGTTATATTTACAAATGATAGCTCTGTGTAACCTTGCCTTGCAAACTTTAACATTCGCAGATCTATTAGTAGACTGTAGAGTAACTGCACAAGTTTGAAATTCAGTACGTGTACGCGTAAAGCATTCATTGGAGTGTAACTATAGACGCGCATGACCTGTGAGTCAACGTCACGCGAGGCAAGATCATAAAATGAGTTGTAGACAGGAAGAACGAACTGGTCACAGCGATGAGCAGCGAGCGTTGTCTACCAGTAAATGGGTTTTAATCCGGAGTACAGCTTCCTGTAGTAGAGACCAGCCGTGGGCGCGAACTGGCTGTGGCCCCAAGCCTTACCCTTCACGTAGTTGTTGTTTAAATGCTTTCCATTGAAGTCAGATAGGTAATTGTTCCTGAAAGACAAAGAACGTTAGGTTAGTTCATGGTTACTTTAGAGAGTCTTTACATTAGAGCAAACTTTCTGACCAAAGAAAACATATTTACGTAACATGTCGTAAGCGCACAGACAGTTTCGCTTCAATATCTCTCCAAATAAACAAGTGCTATTTACTGTTACGAAATCTCTACGTACACATGTCGCTCATTCAAGAAAATTATTAGGCCAACGTCACTTACCGGAACTGTGCGCCCCTGCCCTTCAGGTTGTACTGGTTGTTGTAGTATCGGCCGTTGGTGTTGTCGTTGTAGGCACCGTTGTCCTTGTAGTAGTTACCCGAGTGCTGTTGATTCCTAGCATCGTGTATTCCATGCTTGTATCCGCCGTGATGGCGCTTGTGAATGTCGCTGGTATAGGGTACGATCAGAGGTCCGGTGATGCCGTATGGCACTTGGTCGGGCAGCGCGTAACCGCTACCTACGTCTCCATAGTAGTTACCGCCTGTACCAGGGTAGGCTACTCCGCCACCTGACTGGCCATACGAACTGGCAAGTGCCTATAAAAGAATTACGGGTTGTTTTCAAGATATGTTGAATACGGATGAAAATTTGAAGTGTACGAATGATCCTTATCAGATCAAAATGTGGTTAATCTAAAGTTTTCGCTTTTATCAATACTATAATATATATATATACAGGTAAATTCTAAGCTCTACCCAATTAAAGATTTCGAAAAGAATAGTATTTGGTAAATCAGATCGCACTTACCATATGCACAAGAACAGCGGCTAAGATGAAAAGCTTCATCTTCCTGAAAGATAAAAACGTAAAACTGTAGTTAACAATCAACAATTACCTGACAATTGACTGGATATATAGATCGGCACTCGATCTTATCCCTGAATGCAAACCCTGTCAATTTCTAAACGAGCTATCCACACTCCACCGAAATGCACAGGATAGTTTCAAGATGTCCTCCACACAGAATCAAACTAACCAGATATAATGATAGTCACAGCGTAACAGCGCCGAAATCACTCGAGCCTCGTCAGGTCGTGTATGATATCTTTAATTGTCGTCAGCAAGCTTTTATATGAGTCGGTGCTGTCTTTTGACCTCGAACGATGCACTATCCTTCGTATCCAATGAGGTCATAATGACAAGACGATTGACATGGTAACCCCAATCGTGTCCACGCGTAATACTGTCGGAATGTCAACGCAACGGTCACTGTTGTGTAACCATCGCACGTATCATCCTACGGTCAGCGAGAGAGAGAGACAGAGTATTGCCGAAATATGTGGGTCGCTACGTGACAGTGTTACGCTGCTATGTCGCTTGGGTGAATCGGGTCACTCATTAGCATTCGAGCGACTTTCAGTTTCGTTAGTCAAGCGCGGATAATTTACGATCGGTTGCGCGCGTCTGTATTACGCGTCTGTGAAAGTGCTGCTTATGCAACATGGCGTTTCCAGCCAGCGTCGTCACCGAGAGGTCGCGCTGTGTCCACTAGTAATTAACCTCCCGGATGACCTATTTCAGACGCGTCTTTGAAGACAGGTGACCAGCTGCGTTAGGCGGCACAAATCTGTTTTTGATTTTCAATTAGCCATATGCAAAACCACAGTTGAGCGTGCTGCAATCAACGCGCTTTCGACGGCAACCCAAGACTTTCTTTTGTATAGGACAGGTTTGTGCGGCTCGGCGATAGCGGCGTAGTGTGTGAAAATTACAACTCGCAACATATACAATGCGCACTACGCCTATGTTCAAGATAGGCCGTGACGATTGTGAGAAGGTATATGAGGCTTTCTATACAAGCTGTAATGCATCTGTGAAGTGATAAGGCGCGTGTCTAGTTATCTTAGTAAATGATGTCGACATGTGATTAACATAATTGAAATTGATAATATCAATAGCATATAAACCATCTAAGGCTTTATGTGCTCTGGTGAATGTTCACAAACATTAAAATCAAAACACACTGTGCAATATCTGCGGTATAAAATAGTTTTTCGCTATATGATAAGCACGATTTTTTTTGATAAGTCACAAGGAAAACATATATGCTTTATCATAATTAAACATCTGAATATATATACATATATAATATGTATATGTGACTGTGGTGTGTGTGTGTGTGTGTGGTCGTGGGTGTCGTTGTGTGTGTGTGCGTGCTTGTGGGGTTGTGTAGTGTGTAGTGTTGCTGTGTGTGTGTGTAAAGGTTGTGTGTGTGTGTGTAATGTGTGTGTGTGTGAGTGCCTGTGTGCTGTGGTGTGTGTGTGTGTGTGTGTATGTTGTCGTGGTGTGGTATGTGCTATGCCTGTGTCTGTCTGCTGGTGTGTGTGTGGTGTGTGTGTGTGTTCTGGCACGTGCGATGGTGTCCGTGTGGCGTGTGCGTGTGGTCGTATGTCGAGTGCGCGATGGTGTTGGTGTGATTTGTGTGGTGTGTGTTGTGTGGTGTGAAGAGAGAGAGAGCAGGAGAGAGAGAAGCAGAGAGAAAGAGCGAGAGAGAGAGAGCGCGAGCAGAGAGTGTGCGTGTGCGTGTGCGTGTGGTTGCATGTGCGTCGTGCGCTGTCTGGCGTGTGCCGTGTGCGTGTGCGCTGTGGGCTGTGCGTGGCGTTTGCATGTGCGTCGTGCGCCCTACCAAGTGCAGAGCCCTCCCGTGCGCGTGTGCCGCGTGGTGTTCCGTGTCGTGTGTGCTGTGTAGCGTGTGTGTGTGTGTGTGTGTGTGTGTGCTGTGGATGTATGTTGTGTGTGCTGTGTATGTGGGTGTGTGTGTTTGTGGTGTGTGCTGTGTGTGTGTCGTTATGTTGTGTGTGTATGTGTATGCGCTGTGTGTGTGTGTAGTGGTTGATGTGTGTTGTGCGTGTGCTGTGCGTGTGTGGTGTGCGTGTGTGTGTGGTTGTGTGTGTGCGTGTGTGTGTGTGTATGTGTGGTGTGTGTGTGATGTGTGTTTGGTGTGTGTGTTTGGTGGTGTGTTTATGTGTGTGTGTGTGTGTGTGTGTGTGTATGTATGATGTGTTGTGTGTGTTGTGTGATTGTGTGTTGTGTTTCGTGTGTGTGTGTTTGTGTGTGGTGGCATGCACTTAGCCGTGAATTCGCTATGCTCACCAATAGCAATAAAAGAATATAACATGGGGTGATGCCCTCAGTGAGATGAGCTATCATGTCAGCGTTCACCATTAATTTCGGCCGTTCACCTTTGGTCTTATATTGTTGAAACACACACACCACGCACCACACAGCACACACACACACAGACACACAAATAAATAAATAAATATATATATAATATAAGTGAGCAGAGAGAGAGGGAGAGAGATAGACAGAGAGAGGAGAGAGAGAGAGCGAGAGAGAGAAGAGAGAGAAGAGAGACGAGAGAGAAGAGAGAGAGAGAAGAGACTTGGAGAGAGAGAGAGAGAGGCTATAATATATATATAGTATATATATATATATATATATATATATATATAGTATATATATATACGTATATATATATATCGTATATGACTGAATTTTCCTTTTATAGGTTGATTTGGTAATAAAATAAGTAATAAGCGTTCTACAACTGAATGACCTAATATTAACTTAAACTATATATAGACTATACCCATACTATCTATTTGTACCAAATAAATTCTCTGCGACGCATATTCTGTATATGCATATGCGGACATTACATGCATGGGTACAATAATATTGATACGTCTGCATATAGGTAGTCTACACATATATACTCGTCACTGCCATACGTAGACACTTCTCTGACACGTCAGCAACACACAAGAAGGGTACAAATGAACGTAAGTATATGCGCATGTTATTTATCCATACAATAGGCAAATAATATCAACAGGTGGCAGCACTAATCCGTTTTGGCCTAAGCAAGCTGATGCTCGTGCTTTGACTTATTCACGTAGTTTATTTACTAGTATAATTAGTTGATTGAGAATTTTCAAAGCTACACACTTATTTATAATCATATGATATAAGTATATATATCTATAATATATAATATATAGTATATATATATACTTAAATAAGCTTCAGGGCTGAATTTTGTGATATAAGTTCGTTACACTGCCAAATCTCATTTTGATAAAATCTCACGCGAATATTACATATATGTGAATTTACTGTAAATCTCATCGCTATTAGCATTATATAATTGATTGATTGACGTCATTGAAGAAGCCGCGTAATAATTGTTTTTAGATAATGTTTAATTTATAGATTCTGAGTAAGTCTACGCTACCTTCACGATTAGTAATTTATTGCTACTATAAGGATTGGCCGAAGTAGGATGACTTTAGTGTACTGGCAATAGATGGCGCAAGGGTGCGCAGTTGCATGTCCGCTGAGGCCGCAATGACATCATCGCTATTCACTGTTTGTCAAGGAGGCGGTTCAAAACCTTCAACAAGCGACATTCTGACTCAAGCAAGCGTTTTATGTGCGATAACAACTCTGGATACGCGATAGGCGGCGGAAGCGGCACAAGAGTAAGGTCGGAGCGAGGAAGCAGGAAAGAGAAAAAGAAGAGGAGGGGGAGGAGAAGGCAGGGGAGTAGTAGTAGTAATAGTAGTAGTAGTAGTAGTAGTAGTAGTAGTAGTAGTAGTAGTAGTAGTATTAGTAGGTTAGTAGTAGTAGCTAGTTAGTAGTCCCAGTAATAGTAGTAGAGTCAGTAGTAGTAGTAGTAGTAGGAGTAGTAGTAGTAGTAGTAGGTGGCAGGAGCGAGGCAGGAGGAGCGAGGAGGAAGGAGGAGGATGGAGGAGGAGAGGAGGAGGAGGAGGAGGAGGAGGAGAAGAGAAGGAGGCAGGACGAAGATGAGGAGGATGAGGATGAGTATGAGAATGAGCGAGGATGAGGGAAGATGGGAGGAGAAGAATATGAAGAGGAGAAATGAGCAGCGAGGATGGGGCAGGATTAGGAGGAGGCTGGGAAATGAGTAGCCTGACTTTAGGTGTGAGTACATATCTGTCAATAGATGGCGCAAGGTGCGCAATGTTCAATTTTACTTGAGGCCTCCAAATGACATCATCGCCTATTCACTGTTTGTTCAAGGGGAGCGCGCGTCAAACCTTCACATAGGACATTCTCCACTCAAGCAGAGTTTATATGCTGCGCGTAAACAAACCCTGAATGCGCGATAGAGAAGGCGGGAAGTGCAGAAGGGAAGGAGAAGCAGAACGAAGAAGAAGAAGAAGAAGAAGAAGACGGCGAAGGAGGGAGGGCAGGAGGAGGAGGAGAGGAGGAGGAGGCAGGAGGAGGCAGGGGAGGCGGAGGAGGAGCGAGGAAGAGGAGAAGAATGAGGAGAAGCCCTGACAGGATGAGGGTATGAGCGATGAGCGATGAGGCATGAGGAGGAGTATGGGGACGCGTAAAGAATGAGGAGGAGCCAGGCGGGAGGCAGGAGGGCGCCGAAGCAGCGAGCAGCAGTGAGGAAGAGGATAGATACGATGGGGAGACACTTGGCGGCCATGCGTTCAACGCTGTTCCAAGATATCGATTATAATCGCGCGGTTTTTTTAATGCATGTTCTGCCATGGCAGATTCTCCGATGCTCGGCAAATTAATATTTCTGCGTGTTTGTTTCATTTGCTGTTGTTATTCTTTCTATACACATTCAGTTAAAACTCGCGTTCTGTCGATAAAAAGGTTCACCAGCATTTGCGGAATACAATGGCCCTTCGCTTTATCGGGACAGGTTTGGGGCCATATAAATGCCATGGGGCCCGTTGTCAGAAACAAAATTAGTCTTAACATTAGTCTTACATTAACATTTCTCCTAGACCGGTCGACAATCAATTGTGTTTCCGTTTTGTTATGAGCGAATCTGCCTCGATTTTTCATTCTTTTCGTAACTTCGCTGGCGTTTCTGTCAACGGTCTAAGAGAAAAACTCAATGTTGAGATAATGTTAAGACAATTTTGTTATCTGACAAACGGGCCCCTGATTATTAAGCGGTTAGTCGCATAACACGCTTCCAATTGCGCACATGCATGCCTACTTGTATCTTTAGGCTAGCTTTAAAAAAATGTTTATGCGCCCTATAATGTTCAGAAGTAGCTAAACAAGCCGAAATTCACCGTTTGCTTTTAAGTTTAAAGGTCATTTTACAAGCTTTCACTTAAAAAAGAAGAAAGTTATTCTGCATAAATATCTCGCTTTAAACTAGTGCCTTGCCCCCTTTATTCGAGTAAAATAACTTGCGTATAGCTTGTTTTCAAGGATTGCTCCATTACGCCCGTATATCGAGGACAGATGAATGCGGCGGGCCATTCTATACGTGATCTAGTCAGCCCCCGCACTTTCCACTCGTAATCAAATTAAAGTATCAGAAAATAAATGCGGATTTGAAATAAGTTGCGAATATAAAGATTGAGTTTGAAAATTGGAAATTGTCTAATCGACTCTTTAGTCTTTTATACTGTGCGCATTAATTATAGTGCGTTAATATTATGTAACGTGTAGTAACAGTTATTGTGGAGCAATTGGACATTAAATTAATGCATTCAATTGTTTTTCCTTGGATAATACTCGATTCTACTGACGCTGTAGAGTAGCATATGGAAATAGGGTGGCGGATGAATGCCACATGAAACAATGATAACTTTTGATGATGACATTGAAATCACACGTAATAATAATGTAGCCAACATTATTAATTTACAGAAGAAAAAAAGGATTATTCGAAATAGGCAAAAATATTCGTCTAATCTTTATTATTAGTATATCAAGTAGTAATTTCACTTATCTGTTGAATCTTGAGTGCAATTATATTTAGTCGCCCGTTTACAATAAATTAGTAGCTGCGCCAATTATTTTTTGCTCAAGATTTTTTGTTAAGATTAGCGCAACGCTCAAAGATTATCTTGCCCCACTTCTATACAAATATTTATTTTCTGCCAAGCCAAAGACGTAAATACAGCTGGCTCATCACGAAATACATTTTATTTCCTGCATGCCTACATATACACGAGGAGCAAAATGAACATTTCATTCTTATAGCTATATCATAAATATAGATTATTTTGCGTGTTTTTACTAGTATATTCCGCGATGCATGGTGTGTGTGTGGAGCGTGTGTGTGTGTGTGTGTGTGTGTGTGTGTGTGTGTGTGTGTGTGTGTGTGTGTGTGTGTGTGTGTGTGTGTGTGTGTGTGTGTGTGTGTGTGTGTGTGTAGAGAGAGAAGAAGAGAGAGAGAGAGAGAGAGAGAGAAAGAGTCAGTGTGTGTATGCATGTGTGTACACAGCTATACAACGATATAACGAAATGTAAGTTTGGGTCATTGCCATATTACAAGTTTTAATACATTTAAATCGACGTATATACACACTTGCTCTCTTCGAGTTATAATAACCTGAGCTAATATATACTTGAGACGAGCGCAACTATAAAACATTTATTTATTGAGGATGTGTAAATGTTGATGGCATACGATGACATTTTCATATCTAAACAGCACTGACCTGTTTATTTTCACGTAAAATATGTAATAAATTAGATGCGACGAAATAATATAATCGAAGAAATAGTTATCGCTAAACGTCTTCGGTCTTATTTACTGAATACGCCATAGCCACGAAGCGGTGCCTCTCCTGGGCCGAAAAATCCAATTGATGGATAGTAGATGTCGCCCATCGAGTTCACCGGATATATCGCTCCCTCTTGATTCCCCCATTCGAGCCCCCTGCGGAACGTATGTGTGTAGACGTCGTCGGATTGGTCCCGTCCGTGTACAGTCCTCGTCGAGTCAGCTATTCGATGAACGGAGACAAACGTTTGTTACGATGGCTATTAGATCACACGAACATTTTAACAAGAATTACTTCCTCCGCGGACCGTAATTTATGCTAATGAGCACCAGTATTCGCTAATTACCTTCCGTGTTGCGTTTGTTGTCGCATTGGACTTCGCGGACCGTAATTTATGTTAACGGACACACCGGTATTCGCTAATTACCTTCCGTGTTGTGTTTGTTGTCGTATTGGAATGACTTCGACGCTTCCCGCTGCTCCTCGAGCGATCGAGCCTGATGCGCATTAGCAGCGAAGTTTGCAAACGGCTTATGGGTCGCCGGTCGCCTGTACGTGATCGTGTCGGATGGCGCCACCGTCGCGGCCACTGCTGGCGCAACAGCCACGCCCACGGGCGCTATCTGCAGGGTCTGACGGTAGACGGCCGGGTTGGCGACGCCTCGGTTGATGCCCTGTCCGAAGTTGACGGCCGCGTACGCTCGTCCGCCATTACTAAAGACGGGAGACGCGCCAACAGCGTTCACCTGCGTATTTACAAAGTTGCATTTACACGTGTGTGCGAGTATACGTTGTCTATGTGATAGGTGGTGATGCGCCGTTACTCCGCGAAAAATATGCAATCACCAATAAGCTCCTATACACCAGTCAAATAATTTACTCGAACCTGTAAATTGTAATTATGCACCACAACGTATACAGTCAATAGATAATTATATATATTATATTATATATATATATATAATATATATATATATATACATACATACATACAACGATAAAGAAAGAAAGGATCAGAGAGAAAGAGAGGCAAAGAGAGAGAGAGAGAGAGAGAGAGAGAGAGAGAGAGAGAGAGAGCGCGAGAGAGAGAGATAGAAAATAAGGGAGAGAGCGCGCGAGCTTTAGCAACGTATGAATCGGTCTTACCATTACGGTGATGCAAGTTACTAACAACGGTATAGTCAACATTGTTTCGTTTGATATGCTGCTTCAGCGATAGCCGTGGGTTGAGTCCGTCACACCGAAACGTTCGCTTTGCTCTGCTATTTCGTGTAACCTATATTATTTGCGTTTCGGCCAATAAGCAGACGACACGGTTTCTATTGGTTTACGATCTCCAAGTCTAGCGATGCTATGATTTTTAGCAGCGGTGGCGAATTGTGTCATGCGCGAAGGAGGGCAGAAAGTGCGAGTTAATTTATTATGCGTAGGATATCGGTCAGAAGATGGCAACGGCGACGCGACAGCAAAATGTGGGCCATTTGGTACTCTGTACCCTATTAATCATTAGAGTAGGTACTGGTCGAGTTATCGTGGCTAGAAAACACTGACCCTCTCATTAGACGTCCCATGTTGTTTAGAACATGTCTAGTATAACGATAGCCTGGTATCTCGGGCAAAACGCGTGAGCACGTAATATCGATATTCCTTTATTCTTATTTCTAGACAAACTTTTCTTGGTCCGGCATTTTGTCATCCACCCTGTCACGTTGTATAGCCGCCAGGCACGATGTTCTTCGTTTGAAGCTGTTTTTTCCGCCATCTTAGTCGTCCCGCACTTCGCCAGCTAATGACGAGCGGAAATCACGATGTTTACCCACAACGAAGTCCATTGGCAAGGCGGGACAATGCGTGAACGCAATTTTCATAAAAAAGAAGTAGGTCTGTGTTGCGTTTTTCAGTACCGCTGCTATTAGCATTGTATAACTTCGCTCTGCTGTTGCATATAACGGTCGCGATATTGACATACTTTCGCAGACAATAAATGAAACGTGATCAATCAAGATGAACGCGTATGAATAAAGTTCGTCAATAGCGAAACGAGAATTTACATGATCGTTTGTCAAAAGATGTCGTATAGTTACAATCGGCCCTCGCATGCGGCGTAAGTGATGCACGAGTGACGATTGTAAGTAAGCCATCTGTTCACAAACGATCATATAAATCCTCGTTTCGCTATACGTCTCACCCACCATAATTGTATAGCTGACGCGTCGTCGCTGTTCAACATGTTCTAACGTTATATATTACTATTCGCCACGCAAGAGAGTTGGTATACAGGTACAACGGGAAACGAGGAGGGTACGTGGATTAAAAAAAACGTGTCGGGCGTTACGTGATTTTACGTGTGTTTTACGTGACTATCGACGAAATAGAAATCGTGTATTACAAATTAGTGCATACCAGCATGATCAGTATTCGGTGCACGAGAAGATCTTCAGTGCAAATACAGTATACAGTGATACATCTGATATAATAAAGATTTCCCATCACAAAAAATGAAACCTCTTATTCGACACACACACCTGCTGAAGATTCAACACTATCGCGATATTTAAACGTGCATACACCTATGGAGTTTTATTTAAACAAATTTACAAGCCGCAAATGTCTGTATGAGTAAGCAAACTCATATATGTAAGAATCCTAGGAACACAGCGTGATGTTATGATGAGCTGTTATATATTTACGGGAAATCCTGTGCGTTACTGTTGTATTAGGTTTGCGCAATAAGGGCGATTGAGGTAAAAATGTGCCGAAGGGGAAATTTACTATCTGGGGCATTGTGTTTCGCGTGCTATTTACGCCACAATGGGCGGTATGAGTTAATTGCGGTGCAGGCGTGAACGGAGAAGTTGGCTCTTCTAAATACAAGCCACACTGCATTACACATCTATAAACTCTCATTGGAGTTTGGGGGTGGCAACATCCAACTCATTTCTTCAAGAGCTTATCCTTGCAAGGCGAAGGTTTTCGGGTCACTAGCCCTTGGCTGTTGGCTTGTCTGACGTCACCGATCAGATTGGGGTGAGTCAGTGCCACTCACATTTTGTGTCGGTCTAAAGTTGCACTGATATAACTCACATATTTACACTCTAACATTGAGAGACAGCAGCACTGTCTATAATTTTGGCTAACGCTCCATTAGAAGCGTTCCCAACTTTAATTTTATTATCGTAATATAAAAGAGATATCAAGGGGCGGATCGATAAAAAAGAGATATCAATAGGGGGGTTAGATAGATATCAAGGGGGGATTAGATATAAAATAGATATCAATGGGATATGAAAGTCAGCGCTTCATTTGAGTCTGATCAAAGCGAGCTTAAAAGGAAGCCGTTGCTCTTCCAAGTGAAATATCGATTCGTTTCGCTCCCCTTCGCTGCTCGAGCAAGCGAAATACAGAGCGGGGGCATGTTCGCTTCGCTTCGCTCGCCTTCGTTGCGCGAGCAAGCGAAATAGAGAGCGGGGCACCTTCGCTGCGCAATCAAACGAAATATAGAGCGGGGGCATGTTCGCTTCGTTTCGCTGGACTTCGCTGGACTTCGCAGGTCGAGCACACGAAATACAGAGAGGGGGCATGTTCGCTTTGTTTCGCTGAACTTCGCTGGACTTCGTATTTTGCTTGCTCGCGTAGCGAAAGCGAGCGAAACGAAGCGAAGATGCCCCGCTCTGTATTTCGTTTGCTCGAGCAGCGAAGGCGAGCGAAACGAAGCGAAGATGCCCCGCTCTCTATTTCGCTTGCTCGAGCAGCGAAGGCGAGCGAACAGAAGCGAACATGCCCCCGCTCTGTATTGCGCTTGCTCGCGCAACGAAGGCGAGCGAACATGCCCCCGCTCTGAATTTCGCTTGCTCGAGCAGCGAAGGCGAGCGAAGCGAAGCGAAGCGAAGCGAAGCGAACATGCCCACGCTCTGCATTTCGCTTGCTCGCGCAACGAAGGCGAGCGAAACGAAGCGAACATGCCCGCGCTCTGTATTTCGCTTACTCGAGCAGCGAAGACGAGCGAAACGAAGCGAAGAACGAGCGAAACGAAGCGAACATATCCCTCGTCTCGATTTCGCTTGCTCGAGCAACGAAGTCCATCGAAACAAAGCGAACATGCCCCCACTCTGTATTTCGTGTGCTCGAGCAGCGAAGGCGAGCGAAGCGAAGCGAACATGCCCACGCTCTGCATTTCGCTTGCTCGCGCAACGAAGGCGAGCGAACATGCCCCCGCTCTGTATTTCGCTTGCTCGAGCAGCGAAGACGAGCGAAACGAAGCGAAGATGCCCCGCTCTCTATTTCGCTTGCTCGCGCAACGAAGGCGAGCGAAACGAAGCGAACATGCCCGCGCTCTGTATTTCGCTTACTCGCGCAACGAAGGCGAGCGAAGCGAAGCAAACATGCCCCCGCTCTGTATTTCGCTTGCTTGAGCAGCGAAGGTGAGCGAAACGAAGCGAAGATGCACCACTCTCTATTTCGCTTGCTCGCGCAACGAAGGCGAGCGAAGTGAAGCGAACATGCCCCCGCTCTGTATTTCGCTAGCTTGAGCAGCGACGGCGAGCAAAACGAAG